TATTGCCATATATTCCCACTATTACTGTACGACACCGTTTCCGCGTTTGAAACTTGAAAGTAGAAACTCGTGAAAAAGGAACAGACGCAGCAAGAGAGAAAAAGAAGAAGGCGGATTTCAGAGCATGGATTGCGTTGTATTTGAGTGGTGAGAGTTTCCAATTTTCAAGTCCGTTTCTTTTGAACTTCCCTGAGACGATTGGCGGGTGATTATCAAAGTCTCGAAAACGCCGCCGCCTCACTGTGGGACCTCTACTGTTCCTCCATGTTTTTACTGCTTTTCTCAGTTACATTCTTCCTTGCTTGAACGACGATTTTGGAAAATTAGAAAAGCAAATGCCTTAAATTTTATACTTAACGAGAGTTGATCTGACGAGGAAAACAGGGTACTTGTGGTTTTTGTTAGAATTTGATTATTGAATGACAAATTCAAATATGTTTATGTTGAATATTGGTTAAACTGTACAAGAAACCCGTTTACTACATTAGAAGTTTTCATTTTTAATCTAGAAGCATGATCTGAACATCTTATGATTAGAAAAAAAGATCGACATGAAGAGCTCATATACATAATATATATATATATATATATACACATGCAAGAACTTTTTACAATAGTTTGATCTCAGTTAGGACCCCAGCAACTCAAGAACATGACGGTCCTGAGAGACTCCTCTGCCTGCTTCAGCCTTTCCTTCTTGGCGGCCGCCGCCTTGAAATCGACCGTATTCGACAAACGCCTGGCTTGCTTCGAAGAGGAAGAGGAAGAGGAAGCAGAATCTTTGAGAGACCTTAGATTAGGTTCACACTTGGATGCATGATCTTTCATCAACTGCACCGCCCTCATCCCTGACTGGTAAAACACCCTGCTCGCGTACCTCAAGCTCATAAAGTTATAAACCGAACAAATATGTCTCTCTCTTTTTTTGTTTTTGTTTTTGGAAGAAGTGTTTTGGAGAACTAATGGTGGGGGAACTTGTGGTTTGTGAGTATATATATAGAGGTTGAACGGGACGATTGTTTTAAGAAAACAAGCGGCTGTTGGGGTGACGTGAAGGGGGTAAAGGCAGGAAAAGGAGGGGATAAAGACGATGTGTGCGGCTTTTATTACCAGATGTGAAGATTCTGGATAAGGGGATAAGGACGAGACGAAGAAGATTGTCATAGCCCATGCTGTGCCCACGTTTGATTTCGGAAGTTTGTAAGGTTTTGTCTTGAACCAATCTTTGAATCTAATATCTATACTATGTGCATATAAAATATTAAATAAAATTTTTCTTAGCTTGTATATTTAGTTATTAATTTATATATGTATAATAAATAATTAAATATTTTCAATTTAATCAATATTTAACGTTTATAATTTATAAATATAAAATTAATTAATTAAATTATGAAAATATTAACAATACATAAAATTATTGAAGTGTGCCAAATAACTTTAATTATATATATGTGTGTTTTATTGTTCAATACTTGAAGAGTTTTTTCTTTAATTTAATTTGATCTTTAATTTTTTTTTATAAATTATGTTACTTTATTTTTTCCACTAAAAATGTATAATATTTAAAATATATATCACATGACACATAATATATATATATAATTATGTGATTTGATTACTTTTATTTGTTAATTATTAATTTATGAATTAGTTGCTTTTCAATTTATCAGGTCTTTATACAACTAAATAAGATATTTTCATCTGTAATCGTGTGTTCAGTCCAAATTGTAAAATAACAGAAATTATAAAGATAAAAAATTGAAGTTTTAAAACATTTATACTGGCGTAGACGGTAGATCGGTTAACTAAGGGTTATGTCTTTTCAATTTACAAGGGTGTTGATATATTAAATTTTAGAAGCATCTAAAAGAAATAATGATTTAAATCACCTAAGTTTTATTTTATTAACTCTACTTTATTACATGGTTTTTGGCACGCCTTTAGTTCTTTTCCGATCGTTTTGATACATTTTTATTTTCTTTTTCGATCATTTGATCGTTCTTATTGTTTATTTTTTCTGTTGTTGGATTTGATGTTACCGTGACTAATCAATGTTACACTAATTTTTTCATCTCATTGATCTTTTATATTTTAGACTCTCGAATTTGATTTGAATATTCATGTTTGACTTTAAGTTGAATTTATAACTGGTCTTTCATTAGTCAAATACCTGTTATGGTTCGTTTGCCATAGCAGCAAGATATGCTCGTATCCACTTATTGTTCGAGTTTTTTGGATGAGTTTTTCATTTTTTTTATATGATCCTTGTATGATTTTGAACGATTAGTTTCTTGGGTTAATGTTCATAGAAAATACTTTAATTATGTATTTAGTTTACGAATCTAATTGTAAATATTGATGGTAATTTTAAATTTTTTTATTTCTCAAAAATTAGATATTTTTATTTAAAAAAATTGTAATTTGAATGATAAATCCCTAGTATTTTTGTTTTCCTTTTTATTTATAAAAAGATCTCAAAGAAAATTTATTTCGGTAAGAAGCATACATTAACCTAAAAAGCTTTAGGCTCTAAAATAAAATTTTGACTTAATTAAGCCACATACGTATAAGATCAGGACATGATAACAGGCCGCTGATTTTAAAGCAGGAGAAAAATCCAACAGCCCAGTCCAACATCACAATGTTCATTGAAGCCCACGTATCAATCTAATAACCCGCCCAATGTAGTTGTCTCCACCTCAGCTACACTGCCTTCCACTCAATACACACCACCTAATCACTATTTCCCCGCTATTAATTTTCACTTCAACATTCACCATGATTCCCGCCATGGATCTTCATCTCCTCCTATCTTCTCCCGCCGTCCGATTCTTCCCCCGCAGCCATACTAAACATATAGCTCTATCAACTATAAAAAAATTTCAATCAGATCAGGAGGTTAACCTTTTAATCTATAGCTCTATCAAGACATAAATGAATTCTTAAATCATTTTCATTATCAAGGAGATTTACATCTCTTTTTTCATTTCAAAGGTATTTCAATCATTTTATTCATTTTTTCATATATATTACTTTTAGTAGATTAGCCCACATGTGAATCTAAATTCTAAATTCTGTCATCTCAGATGTCACAATCAGTTGCCAAGGTTTCTAGGTAAAATAAATCTTTAACAGGTGAATATATAACTTTTAGATTTACTTCCAGTTTTAGTGACAATCCTTATTTTTTTTTTATATTACAAGGGCAATTTTCTAACTTCTTATACAATAATTAAGTATTTTCAATATTTAATCTTTAACAAAAAATAATCCGAGTTTACGAATCTTGAGATTAATTTCTTTATCACTTAATGACGAGTCAAAAATTATTTCTTATTAGTCTTTTAGTTTCTTACATAAATCAATTGAGTCTTAACTAATTTATCATCCTTTTTACCATATTCAACTTAAGTTGAATATCTATTATTATTATGAAACTTAATCATCCTTTTTGCATAAAACGTGTAAAAAGTAGTAAAATATTACTTCAATTTTCGAGCTATATTAGTCAGGTAATCAATCACCAACATACTTGGATTCAATGTCCAATAATATATCAAATACAAAGTAAAACAAATTGTATCAGAAACGAACCTTAAACATGAAAATTAGATCGAATTAAAAGATAAAACGCAGAAAAACAACTTATCATGTCTGAATTTAACAAAACAGATCCAAAAAAGACTCACAACGTCTAATGTTGATAGACAATCCCATAAAAGTCAATGCTCGATCAATTGTCGTTCAACGGCGGCCAACGGTCAAAGACGGTCAATGGCTTAACGCATGCGGCTCAGCTCAACCCAACAGAACTCTCCCTGCTGGAAAACAACCCCCACACGCATGGGCGACGCATGCGGCGCATTCGACAACCATCTGTGTTCAGAATGACGTCGAAAACTTCAGAATCGAAGATCATGGAATTTTAAGCCACTCACCGACGTTATTTCTCGACGGGGAGAAACATTGATGGGTTTTCACGGTGGCTGAAGCTTTCCTAACTCCACCTCCACCACGATGACGGTAGCGAGGACACCACTGGCACCAGGAGAAGCGGAACGTCGAGCTGATTCCATTGGCGCAGGCAGTGAGACTCACCGGTGACTGGAAAACGACAGATAGATGAAAAGCCGAGAGGGAAATCCTATTTTCTCGTGAGCCTTTGTGATGAATTTTGCGACGAACGAAGCGACGATACTGGAGTGAGAGGTAGGGAAATCTTTTTTTTTTTGTCTTAGGTAATTAAATGGGTAAAATACTACTTAAGTCACCAAACTTATAGGGCTTTACCCTTGTCTCTTAACTTATATATGTGGTGTTGCATAACATACTACAGAAGAAATAACAAGTTAAAAGCCTAATACAATAAAAGATATAAAAATTTAATATTAAACAAATATCAATGGGTGCTTACATGACTTAGATATTGATAAAATAAGTCATATCATCAGTCATTTTAAAAATATAAGATAAAATAACATAAAAAATAATCTTTAAAGTTAAGTGATAAAATGTTGAATAGGCAAAACAAAAATAAAGTTAAAATTGAGTGGTAACAAAACGTAATTTACCCGTAAGAAATTCTGACCAAAATATGAAAATTTTATAATAATAATATCGGTGACAGGATTGTAAACTTACATCATCTTCTTTGTTTCGGAGATTGTGGAATGATCCAAATCAGTGGAGAAAATGAGAAAGGGAAAGGGAAAGGATACACTGCAATATTTCTTCTCATAACACATGCCTAGTTTCAAATATTCTTGACATATGTAGGTGATGTATGCTTTGTAGTACACCACCGGAAGTAAATGCAATTAGGCCTGCAGCCGTGGTAATCGGCGGCGGCAACAGCGAAAGTGCAACGAGTTCCCAAGAACAACGAGTTATCGCCTAACGAAAAGATCTTGCCCCACCTCCTTCTGTGCATATCTAGTTTGAAAATATCGAACTCGACCGTTATGTTGTCACATGCCACGTAAAGATTCCCGCCCAAATCAAATAGATTTTTCTTCCGGAGTCGGAGATAGTGGTGGGAATACGACGGCTTTCGATAGAGTCCCACGTAAATCTTGGTACGATAGTATCTCACCGGTACTTTGACAAGCGTAGATACTACCCTTGAAGTAAATGGCGTCGTCTACTCCCTTGATATCCTCGATCGGTGTCCATGCTTGATCGCCGGGCTTCGCGAAAGCTAACGAGCAATGTTCCGAATAAATGGCAAGAACTATACAATCGAAGTCCGAATCATCAGGGCTTGAAGATAATGTTGGTTTCTCCAACAAGTAGGGGTTCAACGGGCGTAACGAAGGAAGGGGACGTGTGGCTTTCGACAAAGGATTAAACAATTGAATTTCGAGGTCAGGGCCCCATGTTACCAGCCAACCAAAAGGACTACCCCAACATCTCCTTCCTCGTATCTCAGGCAAATCGAGCTCCACCAATATTTCTTCTCCCGAAATGTCGTAAAAGCAACATTTGTCACCCGTTTTTGTTAGCAATAAGCAGGGAGGGAAGTTGAGTTTTTGATCCACTAGAGAAGTTTGCCATGACCGGCAGACTGCGGTCATACGAATACGATCTCGAACCGAGTGAACCATGTCTGCAACACTTGTTAAAAGATCACCTGGAAGATTAGCCCAATCAGGGGCACTGGCCGCAAATTCCTGTCCGAACATGATGAAATTTACATTTTTATAAGCCAATGTATCATGTTAATATAAAAAGAGTTAAAATGTTATATATGGAAACAAGAAACCAGAAAAATGGTTTCAATTTCAAATTAGCCAATAAAAGAAGCATGGCTCAAACACCCTTAACCGATCCAAACCAGATTTGGCCTTTGAGTCAGCCAAATTGTGCCTTCCCGCAACCATGTTGTCGTCGAGAAAGGGATCGGAGGAGCTGTAGATCACGATGAGCAGTCATAATCTCGCAACTATGATAAAGGTAACCTAAAAAGTATCTAATCTAAAATTTAGTAAAAATAAAAATTTAATTTAGCAAGCAATTAAACTAGTCAAGAACTAAAGTTTCCATTAAATAAAAATGTTTGGAAGCACAGTCCCCTCCCATGTCCTTAATACTTCTGACCCTGAAAATATGCTTGCATTAAATTTACTGAATGTTTGCTGCCGTATTATATATATGGTCTAAGATCATTTGTCTTCTATAATCACATAAATTGTTACACAAAGAGTCCAATCGCATTGAACCTTTAATAGAAAATAAAATCCTCCTAATATTAGTTTTTCTATACAAAAAATTCATGCTCTAAAACTTATTTAATAGATATTCATAGACGAGTAGAGATTCGAATTTCTTCCAAAATTTACAACCTAATAATATTTTTTTTATTTCTGTTAAGTAAAATTAAATTTTATTTCTTTCAAATTTTAAAATAAATATTTATTATTTTAATTTAAATGATAAACTTTTTTAATATTTAATCTTAATTTCATTCCCAAAACATCAAACTGTTTAATGGACTGTTGACAGCATATTATATATGTCATGAGAGTGTAACTAAGCTTCCCCTTTTATTGGCCGCCGAGCATTTGGCGTGGCGTGGGGTTTAGAGGTTGTTCATAAATGAAGTGGCTGAAACGGATGGGAAACGGCAGCTCATGAATTCATTTAAGAAGCTCTAAGATCTATTGTCTTTTTCCCACCACAAGCGCATGTCAGAAAAAATTAACTTATAAAATAAAAACGAAGTTAAATTTATAAAATATACAAAAGTTGAAAACATAATTTCAATAAAAAATATAAAAAAATATCTACAGAAATTTTAAATTTTTAGAGAGATGATAAATCTAATCCCCGCTCTCTCCATTCATACCTGTAAGTATCAAATAAATATATATGTTGATCACAAGAAGAATAATTATCAAATATCATAAATATTTTAATTTTTTACTAAATTTATTTACTTTTATATATTTTAATAATTTAATTTTATATTAAAAAATAATATAATTTTTAAAAATTAATATCCTTATCATAAAATCATTTGTTTGCATCTATTTATAAACATATACTAAAAAAACTGTATGATCACCAAAACATCTAACCTAATTAAAACTTATATGATTCAAACGAATGCACTCTCACCACGTCTTCAGCTCGTGAGTTTGAGTGCACTCGTGTATGATATACCATCATTAATATATCACCCATTAATGCCACAAAGAAGACAAAACAATTAATTGCGTGTGATACATTTAAATCTTAAAAAAATATTTTTTTATCGAATATTAAAATAAACAGCATTGTATTAATCAAATATTTTAGTTTATTTTTAACATATGCATTAAATTTTTAAAAATGTTTGAATCTATTACATAAACATATATATTAAACAATTCTCAATTTTTAATATTATATATATTGTTTGTATCAAATCAAAATTATTTGTACAATAAAACATTAAGTTGATCAACGTATTTTAATTTCACTATTGTTTTTTTAGAAAGTTCTTGACCTTTTGTGTCCCTCAATGCTTATTTGGCAAGATAAACCTTTGTTTTTTTTAATTCACCATCGTTTTTGAATTTTGTTAATATGTCGTTCGAGAGAAACTGCTTTACGGTGATCGTTTTTAATATTCCAGACCTTCATCATCATCAAGGTCTTTGGCTTTTATTTGATGTTTACGGCGAGGTGGTAGATTCTTTCATACCTATCAAAAGAAGCAACAGAGGAAGTAGGTTTGATTTTGTTCGTTTTTCCAGATTGGAGGATGCGAGAAAGGCTATCAAATGTGCTGACAGAACTAGGATTCAAGGTAATGTAGTTAGAGTTTTTATGGCGAGATTTAAACCTCGTGATGCTTTTTGGAGAAAGAAAATCTCGGGCCCAAATCCAGCTGTGGTCAAGAGTAGAGTGGAGAAGATTGTCGTTTCGAGGTTCCCATTATTGGGTTTGTTGATGAGGATAAGCTACTAACTCTTAGAGACAGTCTGGTAGGTTGGTGTAGAAAGTTTATGAAAATGAAAGAGTTGGTTGCTTTTATGCACAAGGAAGAATTTTAGGTTCGAGAATTATGAGGTTAAGTGATTTAGCAATCCTAATTATTTTTGAAGATGAAGCGAGTAGGGATTTTACACTAAAACATCAGAATGAAGCATTGCAGAACTGTTTTGAGAAAGTGGAAGTGTGGTCGGAGGACATCCAGTGCAGTAGCCGTCGGGCATGGCTTCGTGTAAAGGGATTCATCTTTTGCGTGGAGTCATTCTACATTCAGAAATATTGCAGGAAAATGGGGCGAACTTATCTCTATTGAGGAAGGGACTTTAAATCTCGGCTCGTTTGATAGGGCATTGCTTCAGATTATTACGAACTGTTAAGCCCGAGTGGATGGCTCTTTCGTTTTGCAAGTCGGGGATAGGTTTTTTTCCAGTATTTGTTTCTGAGTTTGAACCCTGTTTCAGCCATGATTTCATTTGGGAAGACTCGACTTTGATGGATATGGCAGTTGCCTCTCCGTGTTCCACGGTGGGGAAGACAGTAGGCGTATCGTCAGTAAAGTCTCTTGAGAAAGAGGAAGATGGCCGAGCTCTCCTTGACGGTTGATCGTTGAAGATGGTTCGTGGTCTCCAGTTGCAGTGGTAGCAGATGTCGATTCATGTCTTGATGATGTACAAGCCCATGCATATGTGTCCCAGTCAGTGCGTAATGGGGATAGTGCATGCGATTTTTTTGGCCAGAGAAGTGGATATCTTAATGCTTTGGTGGATGGTAGTGGGGCGTTTATGGGAGCTGCGATGGAGTTTTGCGTTGCTTTTGAAGGCCATTTGCATGAAGAATCCCAGATAGTGCGTTATGGGGAATCTGAGTTTGTCTCACTTTGTCAGAGGAGTGGATTTTCTAGTGCACTAGAGGTATGTAGTTCGGTGCATGCGGGTGATGAAGCAGATTGTCAGGCTATTCTATGAGTTAATGCACATGAATATAGAAGCATGGGGCGTTTGGTTTTTGTCTCCAAGTCAATACGTAGTGGGGAACCAACGTGTAATTCATTGTGTCAGACGAACGATTTAAATAATATTGTGGAGGAATCATGTGCAGCTTTGGAAGTCAAGGGGATCGCTGAGCAGCTTGGGTCTGCTGTTGACATATCGAATAGGGCCTCAGATATTAGCAGCGAGAGTTTGGTTTTACGCCAACCCAAGGTTGGTTCCATCTATCTAAGTGATGAGATGATGACCAATAGAATTAATAGGAAGCATATGAAATTTGGCTCTTTGTTGGATATTCAGGAGAAAGTTCTTTTGAAAGATTGAAGAGATTAAATTTACTGAAATTTGATCTTAATTCTTCTGAATTATCCGGTAGTTCTTTATCAGATTCGGATTTGAAGAAAAGATGGGCTGCTTATGTTGATAAGTGAGAAAATTCTTCGGTAGTTAGTCATTGTTTTCCAATTATTAGATTTTTTGGAGTTTGGTGCGTGGTTGTCGGGGACGGTCTTTTCAGAAATGTTGGGTTCTCCTTGTTTGCCAAAGCGTGATTGGCTCCATCATCCGTTCTGGAGTTACTGCATTGCAATCTGGAGTCCCGCTAGATCATTGTGTGGCTAGTGAAGTCCGAGGTTTTCTTTTTATGTTGTATTTGTGGTGTTCTGCTTAGGTCCTTGGCGCAGGATTTTTTTGTGTTTCTTTGTAGCAGGAGTAGCATTAGTCCGATGGTCAGATTGGACTGTTTTATTGTTTGATGTAATTGAGAGCTCTGGCTTTCGTTTTATTCCACCTCATGGTACATTCTTTTTCCTCCAAATAGGTTTAGGAAGTTTTTAATTAGGTCCATGGGGCGGTGTACCTTGTATATTTTCAATACAAAGTACCCATTTTACAAAAAAAAAAAGCTTTCATCTATTTTGAAGGTCCTAAGAGCTGAACTCGTGACCTTTAAAAAAAAACCGATGACCTTCAAAAATAGATTTATTTTTTTAGAATGCTGCATATTCAATTCTTAAAACCTTTAAAAATAGACTCTTTTTTTTTTAAATGACACTGACTCAATACTTAGGATCTTTAACAATAATAGAGTTAATAACACATCAGCGAAGTGGTCAAAATAAAATGATACTAAAAGTTTAAGGATTGATATATAAAATTTTAAAGTTTATAGACATTTAGAATGGGTCTCATAGTTTGGAGACCTCTGATACAATTAACTCTAACAATTATTATAAATACTAGCTAGCCAATAGAATTGCATGCATGGCACATGCACACATATATAATATCCACAAATGCAAATACTGCAATTGCATTGGATCACGTATATAAAAATAGTAATTTTGAAGCAAATGAACAGCTCACACGACAAAATCACTAAATTAACATTAATTAAGGATCGATTAGTAGATAATCCACCATAGTCAAAGCATGGAGAAGAACACGTATACAACTCCTTTTGGAAAGCCCATGCACAAGCAAACCCTAGATTTTGGAGAAGTAATTACCCTATTAGTCATATTATATTACAAATTATGTAAACATACAATAATAATATCTTTTAATTAAACTCGTAAATCTCTATGAATGGTAATATATCCGTAAATAATTCGTTATATTGACATTAGTGTCTCCATGACCGAAAGTATGGAGACATAAACCTGTGATTATGACTGTATTTTACGCTAATCACTTTAGGTTAGGGTTTAAAATTATCTTCATTTGGTTGTACGAATTTCTTTGGGAATGATTTGTGTAACAAAACTATAAAATAAAGTGAGAAAGTCAAGCACTCATAATTAAATTATAATAATTAAAGCCATATTTATATTAAGCGAAATTATCACATCTACGTGTACAGTCATGACGTGGCGGCCTTATGATGGGTAGATACCAGCTGATTTCACTTCACAAAT